GGTGAAGTACAGGCCATAAAAGAAAGGGGTTCATGATCTAGCCAAGGCCATGACCATCACTGAGTCATTGGTGGAGTTCAAGCCATAAAACAAGTTGGAGTCTACCAAGCCTAAAGGGAAGGCCAAGGGTAAGAGAGATCGAGATCGACAGTACAAAGATAGAGATTGAGACTGACAGTCCAAAAATGGTAACCAAGATCATTCGAACAAGGATGGCTAGGGGAAGCCACCAAAAAGAAAGTAGAAGGCTAAAAGAAACAGGGAGTCAATCTCTTATTACCTATGTGGAGAACTACATAGAGTTCAAGATGGCCCCAAAAAAGGTAAGTTGGCTACCATAGACAAGGAGTTGGATGAGATGCCAAAGAGAAAAACAGCGAAGCTTGGGTTAATTATGCTCAATGTTGTCTAAGGTAAGGGAAGCCATAAGCTAAAGGCACTGATGTATGTGGATTTATTGGTTGCGGGCAAAATGGTGAATACTCTAATGGACATAAGAGTTTAACATTAGTTCATGTTTGGTGATGGAGCCCATAGGCTTGGCCTGAAGATGTACAAGGGGACTGCTACCATCAAGACAGCTAACTCTAAAGAGGTTCCAGCCATTGGAGTGGCATATAGGGTAAAGCTACAGCTTGGAAATTGGAAGGGTAAGGAGACCATTGAGGTAATATCTTTAGATGATTATGAGTTTATGATTGGTTTAGATTTTCTTATTCGGATTAATGCCCTTCTTGTGCCTTTTGCCAACTACATATGCATTCTGTATGCACGGTGCCAATGCCTTATACCATTGAGGCAAAGGTCTAGGTTTGGGACCAAGCTGCTGTTGGCCATTCAATTTGGCAAGGCGGTGAGCAAGAATGAAGACACTTTCTTGGCTACCTTAAAGTATGATGAACCGAGTGAGACAAAGTCTGACACCCTTTTGGAAGTGTTAGAGGTGTTGGAGACCTTTAGCGATATGATGCATGCACAGTTGCCTAACAAGTTGCCACTTAAGAGAGAAGTGGACCATAATATCGAGCTGGTGCTCGAGGTTAAGCCACCAGCCAAGGCCCTTTACCGAATTTCAGCCCAAGAGTTAGAGGAGTTAAGGAAACAACTCAAGGAGCTGATCAATGTTGGCTACATCAGGCCATCTAAGGCTTCGTATGACTTCATAATTCTATTCCAACACAAGCATGATGGGTCTTTACTGTTGTGTATTGACTACAAGGCACTGAACAAGTTAGCCATCAAAAACAAGTTGACCATAAAAAACAAGTATCCTATCCCCCTCATTACGAACTTGTTCAACCAACTTGGAGGTGCAAAGTGGTTCACTAAGCTAGATTTAAGGTCAGGGTATTACCAGGTCAGGATAGTAGAGGGAGATGAGCTTAAAACTACATGTTTCACTTGTTACAGCCCTTATGAGTTCTTGGTCATACATTCGGACTCACCAATGCTCTGACAACATTTTACATGCTCATAAACAAGGTATTACAACTATTCTTTGATCATTTTGTTATGATTTATCTTGATGATATTGTGATCTATAGATAGACATTAGGGGAGCATGTAGACCACTTAAGACAGGTGTTCGAGGTGTTGCAGGTGAACGAATTGTTTGTGAAAAAGCAGAAGTGTCCATTTGCCCAACAATAGGTACCATTGCTAGGCCACATAGTGAAAGGTGGCAAGATACACATGGAGCTAGCAAGGTGCGTGCCATTCTGGATTGGGAACTGCTAGCCAAGGTCACCAAGTTAAGATTATTCCTTGGGTTGGTTAACTGCTATTGGCGCTTTGTTAAAGGCCACTCATCCGTCACCACACCATTGGCTGATTTGCTTAAAAAAGAGAGAGTGTGGGAGTGGAACACCGAGTGCCAGGAAGCTTTTAATCGGTTGAAGTGGACAGTGACTGAGGAGCTATTGTTGGCCTTATTAAACCATGCCAAATCGTATAAGGTGCATACGGATGCATCAGACTTTACGATAGGGGGCATACTGATGTAGGAGAACCATTCAACTGCATTTGAAAGCTAAAAGCTCAACAAGACTGAACGCAGATACATGGTCCAAAAGAAGGACTTAACCTTGCTCGATGATCGTTACTACTAGCCACACATGAGGGATGATGTTGAGGCCTATATGAAGAATTGTCTTGTGTGCCAGCAAGACAAGATAAAGCTCAAGCCACTAGGCGATCTCTTGGAGCCTTTGCCTAACCAAAGTGACCATAGGAGAGCATCACTCTGGACTTCATAGTCAGTTTACCGAAGGAAAAAAGGTTTGGGAGCATTATGATAGTGGTGGATAGATTTTTCAAGTACAGGATTTTCATTATAACAACCAAGGAGTGCCTAGTTGAGGAGGCAGCCCATTTGTTCTTAAAAAATGTGGTGAAGTATTGGTGAGTACCGTGGACCATTATTAGTGATCAGGACTAACAATTTCACAAGGTGGTTCTGGATTGAGTTGTTCAAGCTGTTGGGGTCAGACTTGAACTTTTCTACTAGCATGCATCCCCAGACCGATAGGCAGACTGAACAAGTAAATAGATTGTTGAAGGTCTATTTCAGGCACTATGTGAGTGCCATACAATGGGATTGGTTGAAGCTACTTGATGTTGCCCAGTTTTTATATAACCTGTAGCTGTGTGAAGCAATGAACCAGAGCTTTTTTAGGATTGTGATAGGGTAGGAAATGCTAACGCTCGATTCAATTATCTTAGGTTATACAAGGCTTAACCCAGTAGCCCATAAGTTTGGCAAAGTTTGGCAGAAGCAAGTTGACTTAGCCAGAGTCTGTCTACATAAAACTGTGAAAAGGTCTAAGAAGTGGGCAGACCAAAAGAGGAGGGTTGTGCAGTTTCTAGTGAGGGACTTGGTCTTGGTGAAGTTGCACCCCATCATACGACATAAAGGCCTACATAAGGGTCTAGTTCGAAGGTATTGGGGACCTTTTTAGAGTTCGTAAGAGGATAGGCAAGGTTGCCTACAAGCTGGATATGCCACCAAAGCCAAGAGTACATTCAGTGTTTCATCTTAGCATGCTCAAACTGTACCACAAGGACCAAAGGGATCCCAAACGAGCAGACTCAAGGCGTGCACCATTGGGAGCCAGGGCCTCTTATGAAAAAGAGGTTCAATGCATTCTGGCTAACAGGGTTGTAAGGCGATGAAATTATCAACCAAGAAATGAGTACTTGGTGCAGCGAAAGGGGCTTCTAGATAGTAAAGCTAGTTAGGAACCAATAGATGACCTATGGCAATTTTAGGACTAGATCATGCGGTTCCACGCAGAGGACACAATCAAGGCATTGTGAGATTAGGTGAGAGAGAATGTCATGCCCTAGCCAGCGCACCACGAGCTGAGGCCCGAGCACCAGTAGCCCAAGCTCGAGCACTAGGGACAAAAGTGGGATTTTGCACAATAAGCATGGGAGAAGTGTCCAGACCACTTGCACAACACTCATGCCTATCCACATGATAGGGCCAAGCTCGTATCATGCTCGCATAGCACCTAGGTGGACTTAGGAGAGTGGAATCGATTCAGAACCATATAGAAGCATTTAGGATCGACAGCACATAGTTGGAAGGGTCTAATTAACCCTAAGAATTAAAAGGAAATCCTTAAAATCAGGATGTAATCTGTATTTTAATGTGTAATCTCTTAATTCTAAGAATCATGTAATCCTTTAATTTTAGGAGTAGCTATATAGTGCTGAGGCTATAAATAGAGGGTTGCCATCCTTCAGTTGTATTAATCACACATTTCAATAATATACAGAGCATATTTCAACATCCATTATATTTTCTTAGCTTGCATATTCTACTTTTCTTGTTGGTGTAGTGCCCGTATGCTTGTGTAGTACGTTGAACTTAGGCATACAGAATCAATTTTCAACATAAGGTCGCAGGTTTAAGGTCTGGAGCTCGTGAGATACACATTCTGCTAAAAGACCAAGGAAAGTTTCCTTTGATACATAAAGTCATTTACATTAAAAAAATATTCTTTTTTTTTTTCAATCTTGCAAAATAAACTCTTTAGAAAATTGTAATGTACAAAAATTTCATTAGACCTTTTAAAAGAAAGATAAATTAAAATAGCAAGCAAGCCCCGAAATTTATGAATTTGAAAAAATTATTTTTATTTTGAGTTGTAATGAAAATAAAATACACAAATTTATTATAGATTCAACATGCTTAATATTTAAAATGTTATAAAAAATTTAAATCCACAAATACCTATAGATATTTCAAATTCACCGATAAAAATCCAACAAATCCATAAATTTAAAAATAATAACCAAAGTTATATATATTTTTTAGCATTACCATTGATAAAACAATATGAAAACTACAGTCGACTTGGCATTCATCACGAGGCAGGATCCCAAACAAAGAGGAAAGGGATGCTATTAACCTAATCCAACGGGCACATCCTCTCGCGACATATAACTGCAGCCTGATTCACTACTTCCTTAGAAGATCTAAGAATCCAGACTCAAGCGATGATTTCCACTTCCATCGTATTCTAACAGGCTCCACTTCCCAAATTGAGCAAAACCTATCTTCATTAATCCCTTGCACCACATCTTTAGAGTCAGATTCCAGAATCACCTTTTCAAAATTCTTCTCCTCGGCAACAACAGTTTCTTTTTTGCAATAGCTTCAGTGACTAAAGCCGAGGAAGCATCAACTGCCATTCTTGTTTAGCTATTAAGACTAGGTTGTGAACGATTGAAGATCTCTGAATCCCATACCTCCATACTTCATTTTTGTCAATATCCCCCAACTCCGCCTATCAACTTTCATTGCCTCTCTACCTCATCCCCACAAAATACTGGAATTCACTCTTTTTGGTGCATAAAAGTTTAGAATAAAGAGAGATTTATATATTTTATGGTCAGACTTCAAGTCTCAGAAAAAACTTAAATTGAATTTACATATCATAGGTCTCAGAAAAAATTTATATTGAATTTATTGATCACCTACCAAATACTAACATTGAGACTCGAATCTAAACCTTACAATTGAAATATTTGAACCTTATCATCTCAACCAACCTCTTTTGGCAGAATTCACCCCTTCAATCTCACTACATAACTGCTTTTGGGAACGAGAAGCAGCTTATTGGGTAGCATTGGATTGTACTTGCCACAGCTTTTATAAGCACCTCTCTACTTATTTGGGAAAAGAATTGATGCTTCCACTCATGTCCTTTTTAACAGGTGTTGCCACTCGCTCTGACTGGTTGTTATGTTTCATTGTTTGAAAATTTTGGATCAAGTTAATGAAAATTTTCTTTGCATTAACGCAAAAGAGTTCAAACATAGCATTGCAATAGAAAAATCAGCAGCACATTGTTGTCTACCAAAAAAAAAAAAAATTCAACAGCAATCGCACGTATCTTACACAAATCAATATTGGTCAATTATATTAACAGCTTGCAATAGTCTAAAATTGAGGGTAAAGAATCATTATAACTTAGACACTACCTACAAATGTAGTTAATGGACAGTAGACAGAATCGCCCAAGTTGTAAATCAAGGTTCTTCCAATGGAGGAACCAGGGAGTTGAGTATACAATCCAGCAGAAGATAAAGAAAGTTCCCATCAAAGGAGCTGCCAGTCGTCCTCATGAGTGCTGCCATCCATGTCACCCATAGGCATTACACCAAAGGAATCATCCTCTCGAACCTCACCAGTGTCAGCCAAAGCATCGCCATAGCTAATGGGCTTAAAAATAATAAGAGTTTGAGCAACAGTGAATAAGGGAGCACCATTTGATTCATCAGCTAGTTTGGAAGACCGGAAACAAAAATCTTGAAAATCATCTGCCAAAAGAACATGATAGAAAGGGAAAGTTCATTTTTCGTCATTAAGTTGCCTGGTCCAAACCCAAAACAAGTAAAATTGTAAATACCAAAAAGACTAACAACCAAACCTTTGTCTCGGCAGAAAAATCCAATTGCCAGGGATGGATCAATTGAATCCAGAGGAATGTGTCGTATAACACTGGATCATACAAGAGACAACAAAATTAGGAACAAAGAAATCAATGTATGTGAAACTTATAAGTAAATAACAAGGTACTTACTTGCAGTGATAAGACGAAGTATCAGCCTCCAGATTATCCCGACTAAGATTAACTACCTGATAAAAAAATTCGGTGTCACTACAATTTCCATGAACTCCCAAGTTTGTTTGACCAAATTAAGTAACGGCAAACATATTACCAGAACTCAGAAGCACATTTGAATAAAGTCATGCAAGAAGCTTTAAGCTTAATTTGGCATTGCCGTTGCAATTGACAAAACTCGATTTGGGAAAAACACATTTGAAAAGAATTGTCAGAAATTGATTTGGAAAGTTAAAACATAAATGGGGATTTTAGTCATTTCATCTTTAAAATTGCCTTACAGGTGCTTTTGTGGTTGGCTGCAAAAGTGCTGTCAAAAAGCAATTTTAGAGCCAGTGCAACATGTGTTTGACATTGCATTTGGAGCCAAAGCACTTTTTGGCACCATAAATGCACTGCCAACCTTCCCCTTAACCAAAAGGGCCACAAGAGAATGTAAATATTACTCCAAACATGACAATGATAATCCTTGAGAGGAAATAAAAGGACAGCAACAATAAATGGCCATTGGACCCCTTTTTAACTATTCAATTTGGATTGAAATAACAATTGTTACATGTTCAATTTAAACTGAACATAAAAAAGTTTCCCGTTTAAGCCAATGCTAGATACATATTGCAGATTCAATCAAATATGAACCTTGTGCTCTTAGTATCTTCAACCCATATTCATGCAAACCACAACCAATCCAAGTTAAATCAATGGACAAAACCACAATATATAGTACTGGCAAGAAAAGGGAAAAATGATGCCTTCTTGTTTGTTGTCTTACATCTGGTGTGAGAAAACATGGTACTAATTTGAGTCATCTTTTACACTTGATCCTCTCTACAATAACTGAGAATATTTGAGAAGATACCTTGCTTCTAACCATAAGAATGTTGCAAGGAGATATAGTAACCATCATTAAAAGTGTAGATGATGACATTCTACATTTTTTTTTTTTTTGGGAAAGTGACATTCTACATTGTTTATGAAAGTATAACAATTATTTGTTATAAAAGAAGAGGTTGAAAGGATAGAAAAAGCAGAAATAAGTATTTAAGGGTTAGGACTAAAAGCTGTTTATAACCCTAGTATAAATAGTCTTTTAGACAAATTAAGCAACTATTTATAGTTGGATATAATTGTTAAGGTTTTACAACCTAAAATCATTTTGTTATCCCAACTTCTATTTCATATCAATTTTAGTCCTGGTTCTGGTTTTATTTTAAATGTTTCTACTTCAGCACTACATCAATAGAGTAAGGGCTTGTCAGTGTTGTCAAGCACGCAAGGTGCACTATAGGCACTAGAACCCTTATATTGCCTAAGGCACACGGTGTAAAGAAGTGCTTGCCTAAGTGAAGACACAATATGTATATGTATTAATATATATATATATTTGTATACGCGTGTGTTTATATATATAATAAGCTTAAGATATATGATTCTGATAATAAACTCTAAAGAGTGGTCCATTTTGTCCTATAAAACATGCAAAATTTTCTTTTTTTTTTTTTTGGTCGTCAATATGCATGATTTCCTTATGCTCCCATGTTTGTTGTAATACTTAAACCTTGAGAAGTAGAGAGTTTGCTATTGTGCACTTCTTTTACTATTAAAGGTTTAGTTAATGAAAAAATTTTAAAAATTAAAGAAATTAAAGAGAAGTTCAATCAGGAGGGCTTTTTTTGCCCCTACAGCCTTACAAAAAAGCGCACCTAGGTGCACCTCGCACCTGATCAAATGCACCTTGCCCAAAAGTGTCTGAGGCACTTTTGTTGTCTAATGCTAAGGCACAACACCTTAACAACACTGGGGCTTGTAGAATCTTTAAGAAACTAAGTTTCACACCCTCTTCACTACCGTGCCTGTGGATGAATAGCCCAGTTTTAGGAATTCAAATTTATCAATCAGTTGCCTGGCTTAAAAAATATATTTAGTTTAGATAAAATCTTATATTACTCCCATAACTTTTCACATAATGGCAAAATAAATGATTTCCAGAACACATCCTTCGTGAAGAGACAAGACATTCTTCAGCACTAAACCAAACAAGTAAAAGAAGCTTCCCTGATAAGTCTATCCACCTATATCGCATCTAAAAGAATAAGAGAATGTAACATATGAGTGATAATATAAAGCAATCAATGAATTTACCGGCTGAACATCATGTGGATCAAGGTAGAAAATATTTTCTTCTTGAACACCAACAATGTAAGTCGAGGCACCAGGTTTCCCACCCAAAATGCCAAGGCATTGTGGAAAGGTGAATGTTGCTTGCAATGATGGAATGTACCTAATAATAAATTTACGAAATTCCAAGTGGTTAGAATATGTGGCAGAAATCAAGTTTAATTTCATAATTGATTACTTTAATGCTACTTGTTTTTGTGAGGACAAGCAGTGTGTACTCATTTATTCTTTGAAGTATGTTACATTGAACCATAATACATGTTTTACTGACTCCAGATAAGCAGAGTCCTAATGCAGTATTCCCTCTATCTCAAAAGGTAACCTTTTTTGAAAAAGCAAAATGATTAAGATAAACTGTAATTCACGGATAACACCATGGGCTAATTTTATCATTATGGTGTTTTCTTTCTTTTAGAAGCTCTTAGTGGCTGTGAGGTGAAGTTGGAGGTTTAGCAGAAAATATCCTTGAGATTTTGATTGTGGAAATTATTCTTAACACTTCAAAATTGAAATGAGACCAGTAATTTTGGAACGAAAAGAAAATAAAACTAGTGTCTTATATGGTAAGGAGAACTTGCTTAGGAGAAAAAAAACTAAAATAGGTAAAGAAAGTAACATCCTAAAATCTCCACAGCCTGGAGCAATTTCCAAGAATAAACTGAATAGAATAATTTATTATCTTAGCAAGAATACCAAAAGCTGAATGCATTTTTTCAACATGTAGCAAGTAGTACGTGTATAAAAGAAACACAGAATGCAGACCACCAAGGGCACACCTGAACGGTTGAACTTGAGATTTCTTCCTAAACATCTCAGGTCGATCTTGGGGAGAGGAGGATGGGCTTAATGCAATGAGAGAGAACTACCTGCCTTGGTGTAGCACAAGCCTAATGGGACTTTAATATGTACAAAATAACCACGACACATGCAAAGAAAGCCGGCTATTACACTCTAAATCAGATTGGAGACATTACTTGAAAGAACAAAAAGCATAAAAATGTTTTCCAAATGCTAAAAGAAATTATAACATTCATTTAGAACCAGAGATTTAAATTGCAATGCAATCGACTTTTAAGTGGAGTAACATTTATTGCGGTTGTGGACATAAATAATAAAATAACAGTAGTCACAATCATTGTTGTCGTAAATATTCTTTCAGTTTTGCACAACTTATTATCAAATTAAGTAAATAACAAGTGTACCCATAATAACATTTATTTATGATATTTAAAATAATTTATGAGATTATAATTGTTTCATTTATATGATGAAATAAATTATTCACATTTTTTAACTATAACTCAGAAGTGAGTATGCATATTTAAAAAGGTGTTCACTAATATTATCCACAAATTTTATGGACATAAATGCTACAAATACATATGATAGAAGAAATATCATATATCATAAATTAATTTAATCAGAAAAAATAAGGGATGAACATTTTAAATAAATTTCTTCCTCGTAAGATATGGTTATTGGGGAGGGGGATCCAACCTGTCTTTGTAACCAAGGATACATACACTTTACCATTGGGTCAAACACCCGTGAGCAACTTGTTAAAAAATTAATTAAACAAAAATAATATAATGGATAGCAATCTAATCTTAATAAAACACACAAAAATCACAATTAAGATTAACTTTAATATCAAAATTATAGTCATTTCAAATTAATTATTTTTTAAAGGATGGTTCATACATAAAACTCATAAAAAATAATTTCAGTAATCAGCAATTGACATTCTAACTCAAGTTTTCATCTAAATCTTCAAAAAAATTTCTCAAATACCAATGTCCAATCATTTGCCTTCCCCACCTAAGTAATCAACTAAACAAGAAAAAAGAAAAAAAACTTTTGACTTTTAGATGGCATACGAAACATAAGCCACTGCAATCACCCAACCCAATTCTCCTCTTATTCTCTATGTCCGCTTTCCAGGATCCCGTCCGCTTCTCTTCCTCATTCCATAGCAAAGCCACCCATGACCCAACTTAACCAACCACCCTTATACCTCACCCACATCCTCAATGCCTCTCCCTCTAGAATTTTGAACTCTCATGTCTCATCCATCTCTCTCAAGAGTCAAGACTAGAGAAGATGACACAACCAAAAGCCCACATCCATGAAAATATAAGAGAGCTCTCTCTCCACACCATCCACAACTTAAATTTAAAAAATTGTGAAGGAAAAGGGGTAATTTAAGTGAATATTTGTTTCTTACATTAATCAATTCCCTCTTTTATTTTGATTGATGCTCAAATTTTTTGAATTTTTACTAAATGTTTGGACTTGGGATTGGTTCTCTTAGTTTTGGTATGGGATTGCCATTTGATTTGATAAGAAAAAAGAAAAGAAAGAACTAATAATAGAGGCAAAATAAATCAATAGTGGCTTTAGCATCCCATTGTAGCCTATTATCTGCTGTGCTGTTATGCATGTGAATCACCATTCACAACTCAATTGCAGTGAATAGCTGTGGTGGGTAGGGCGCCACTACTCCTAAATGGTGAATGCCATGCCACAAAATGGGCACTATAAATCCCTATTTATAACACCATGACTATTCAAATGTTAAATGAGAGCATCAACTTTCTCGCAATTAAAGGTAATAGATTTCTTCATAAAACTAATATTTACTCTTAGTTGGCCAGGAAACTTAAAATATTATATGGATCCTACAGACCAGATCATAAATCATTAAAACCATTCAAGTGAAATCATGCTACTTGAAAGAAAAAAAACAAGCATATTAATGAAACATGGAAAAGGTGTTTGAATGTTAAAATATAAAATAGTTCAACCAATTTGACATGGAAGAGAAAGATGTTCCAACCAATCTCCATAGTGAAGAGAAGATAAACTATAGTTAAGACAAGTAAATGAGTATTTTGGGCTCATTATCACTTATCCATACTCTACAATAGAAGGATGCAGTTTTGTACATGCTCACTTCATTCTGAACTCATAGGCGTATTAATCCCTGTATCTAGAATTTGATTTAAAAATAATTAAAACAACCATCAATCCAGTTAGGAGCTCTCTACAAGCAAAACATCAATAACGCACGATGAATCCCTAGAGAGCCACTTTTGGAGCTCATACAACTTCACAAGGCCATGCTAGGATTACCTAATTGATCACTGCTAAATCACGGTTGGATTGCTAATTTCTCAAGCTCAAAGTGAGTTCAAAGTCAGAAAACTAAGCTTGAGATTCCTTGAAACAAACTATTGAACACTATCAAAAGCAACTTCAAATTTCTAGTTCTACAGTTTGATACTAAATGGGCATAAAATTTAAGCAAGTCATTCTAAGGAATCAAGCAGAATAATCCTTACCCAGAAATAATTTTTGGGCTACAGAATTTGTAATTTTCTAACTAAGCGCGTCAATAGGGTTGAATCTTATGAATAATTCCACTAACAGAACACAGATCATTTAAAGAAGTTGGCATTGGCATGATGCTTTGCTGAAATGAACTAGACCAATTACTTTGTTACAATCAATTCCAGCAAACATGCCTTACCATAAAAAGTTGAAAACCCACTCAGACCTTCCAATCTATCTATCGAAGTAAGATGCCACAGGTGTTAAAAAAAATTGACGAATCTTCATAGGATTGTTAAGATGTGTTCTTTCACTCTGGCTAAGCTTTAAAGGTTTCCTTCGTCTTAAAATTCTTTACTTAGGATGAACCTATTCTCTCCATAGTTCCACTTAATTTCTTCACATAAAATTTCACTAAAATCAATGCACTAATGATCTTCAAGTGGCCAAGTCATAGTCTGAGAATCAGGAGTTGGAAACAACGACCATGTTATGATAAATAGACCTAGAATTGATCCAATTTTGTTAACTAAGATTTTTTTTATAAATGTGCCAATTTGATTAATTTGCATCAATTAGGTGTAAGAAAAGCCTATCTTTTCATTTCTAAGTGGATCTATCCAGTATACTAATGCAATAACACTTAAATGAGGAAGACATTAGCAATCATAGTTGTTGGCTCCTAGAATTGCACAGTAAAGGAAATATCGGTAACCAGAAAGCTAATAGATACAAAGATGATTAATTAATTTACACAAAAGATCTGGCCTGATGAATCTTCCAATTATGAAACTATTAAACAAAGAAACGTCAAAACATCACAAACCTGGGATTTACTTTGTCAAGTCCAAGAACCAAGGGTACAAGTAAAACAATAGGGGTCCAATCAGCATGGCATCTTGAAAATTCAAAACAGTGCCTAGAAGCATCTTCAATGCAAACAATTGGAGCTCCTCCTCTCTCACCATCTTCATCACCAGAAACAACATAGACAGCCATAGGAAGTAACTGGTGCTCAAGGTCATTTTTCTCCCCCTTAGAGCGAGCAAGAGACTCCCACGAGCGACACATGGCATATGGGCCTACCCATGACCCAGCAGCAAGTCCATAAATCTTTCCAGCTTGAACAAGGTTGTGAATGGAGAAAGCTGAGGCCTCAGAATCACCAAACTGATGCAAGATCTCGATATACGTTTGGTCAAATTGCTGCATAGGCCAAAAGGTGTCAGAGAAGAAAACAAAATATTTTTGGTTCTATCATGGTCTAATTCTCATATGAGCTAGAGGAAATAAGCAAGTCCAGGAATAGAAACTGTTTCGCACCACCTTTTGCAAAGGTTTTCGCCAAGACCTCCCCAATCGATGAAAAAGCAAAGCCTGCAAGGGAAGAAAACCAATACATGAACTAGCTAAAACAAACGCCAGATAACAAGCAATGTCAATTTTCATGATGAAAACGCATATCAAAGTCTCCTACTTCTTGTCTAAACATTCTCAAGAGAAAAATAAAACAAAATGAAATGAATATACCTGAGCAACAAGCATTTGGCTACTTCGAAGCATGCAACCCCAGCCGACATCACTTGTAATTTTTGTGTCTCCAATAGCATCAAAACCTGCAAATGAACAACTTAGAAATTGTGTTATCACCATGACTCCTGTAAAGAGCAAACTTCATGATAAAGACCTCTACGATATGTCATCAATATTCGTGATGAAAAGTCTTGTTTGAATGCAGCTAATCCATTGGTGGCATCCATATCTCCAGAGGACTCCTCCCGTGAAATTTCATAGCACACGCCTAGAAGCCATATGTCGCTAGTTGAGCTAGATATTCCAATCTTGCTTGGCCCCAAAACACGCTCGTGAACCCTCCTCATTGAGCCACCGGAGACAGCCCTCTTCACAGCTGCTGTCCACCCATTGTTTTTACGAAGGGATGCCTTCTTTTCACAAGCCGACGACTCACTATATGTGTCAAAGATTGAGAAAGCAGAAGCAAAGAAGTTTGACCAGACAGAACTCTTGGAGAACTTAAAGTCACTGGGACCTGGCTCTAATCCAGTTCCAGGGGATGGTGAGCTATCGATAGCAGTTTTAGAAGAGCATTTTAAAGCAACATTCCCCTCATGAGAACCCTTCATTACCTACTCATGCAGCAGCAGGCAATAATATGACGGACTAGGCTCATGTCATAGAAGCAAATTTTAATTCGGCAGCTCCCTGGTGATAAGGATATCTGTTTCAATCCAAATCTGCATATAATGAAAGAAATCCATCTGAGACATAAATGAAACAAAATTACCATCGGGTAAAGCAGAGATACAAGAATTCGACTTCCGAATCGAATCGCACGATCCCTGTCGATGATCGTTGGCAATCTAATTCGCAAAATCAAGGGATCCACAGGTTTGTTCAAGTAAAGAAATAAGTGAAATTGAAAGAGAAAACAAGGAAATAGGAAGCACCAATCGGGACCCCCAAGGTGTGAGACACGTCTGAGAGACAGGGAGATGGAAGAATTAAAGACAAGGCCCCTGAGAATTGTGAAAGAAACTTTGGGTACGGGTCGAGTTACGGAGAAAATTTGGGGAATCAAAAGCACATGTTTCTTTTTCTCTCCTATGATTAGAATAGATAAAACGAGTTATGTATTTTTAAAATATTAATTTTATATTTTTATATGGTATTTTACAAAAAAATTATATGTTAGATTGAAATGTATTTTTTTATTAAATTTATGTATAATTATTTTAAAATTTTAAATTATGTTTTTGTACTGTGTATATTTCGAATTGCTTTATCATATTTTAAACTATTAAATTTAAATTAATTTTTTATAATTAAAACAACAACAATTTTTTTCATCTTTTATTTTTATCTCTTAACTTTTTTTATTTTGTTTTCATAAACTCAAAACTTTAATGATAAAATATAATATTGATTAATTAATTATAGTTAAATTTTTTGAAACTATTATTTAATTATTTAATTTTCATATTGATCATTTAATTATTAAATTTTAATATTGATCAATCATTTAATTATTGATCAATTAATGACAATAGTATCATACCCAATTATTATTTTTTAATATCTATGGAAGTAAAAAGGAATACACAAAAAAGGATTGAAGGAATATTTTCTTTTAAAATACAAAAAAATATGAATATGAAGTTTTTCGTGCATAATTTTTAAAGAAATAACAAAGTTATTACAAAAAAATTAAGTTAAAAAAGTTTATCTTATACATTGACCATAAAGTTTTTAAATTTTACAATGGATCTTAAAGAATTAACATGCATCCATTAAATATTTAAAAATAACAAATTAATTCATATTGAATGAACGTATAACAACCATTTTATTTTACTTGCAAAGTTTAAAAATTTCATCACAAATATAGATAATATAATAATCCAAAAAAAAATCAATGTAAAGATATTCTTTCACAATTGTCATGATAAGTTACTGGTGGTGTTGTTGTTTCTTAGACGTAAAACCCTAAAATCAAGAAAAAGAGAAAGAAAGTAGTTAAAGACAAAAGCTGAAAATAGTCTCAATATTTGTGCTTTGACACTTAAGTCAGAGATCTATTAAAAAAAAATAGGAATAAGAATATAGGAAAGCATAAAAAGTAAGATAGATTAAACGGTACCTGAAAAATACTATTTATCCTATAAGGTGAGGGATCTTAGGCAACCTAAGCTATCCGAGGTAAGCCTTAAGGTCAAGGATGGCCTGATAAGCTGAGTTGAGCTAAACGTTGACCACTCGGTTAAAAGATGACAAATTAGTATTTAGGGGGTTTAATGAGTAGACTAGTGAGTGGCTGCACTGACATGGTATTATAGAATGAGGTCGACCTGACATGTCAATTCAATTAAAAAATAAAAAATGCCTTTAGTTATCTGCTGATTATCTCTAATGAAGAAAAATGATTATTCTGTCTTTTGGATCCAAAAATGTCCCTAACATTGTGTTCTTTCATCGAGCAATTTGAGTATCAAACTGATAAGTGTAAGTTGGGCTAATCTAACCTGTGTTTAGTGATACCAAGCTTAAACTTTTGGGCTCGAATTTTGAGAAGAATTTTATACTATTGGTTCGATTTTAGATTACCAAGGTTAACAATTATGGGTGCCGATGTGGATGAAAGCTATATTGGTCAAACCAATAAATGGTAGCCTACGTGTTTCGTATATTCAATATCATATTTGTTTGTGATTTGCTGCTCTATTATTATGGTAACCAATGTGGAACTTGTATATTTTTCTTTCATTTTTTAATTTTCCTTTTGTGGTGATACATGGCCTGATGTGTTGCAAGTGTTTAGATGACTTAAGCACGTATATTTCTGAACAGTAAAATTTATGGTGGAATGATCAATATGCCCCTCTTATAGGTTCATATATATTTGCATTTATTAAGGAGAGGGAAAATCTGACTATTAAAGAGAGAAAAATTAGCGAATAAATGAATATAGGTCAAGAATGTGAAATGTCATCAATGATAACCATTTGGGTGATGTGGCACAATTTAGGGTGTTCATTTGAACCTTGAATTGGCTATATAAGAGGCCTTCGGGGGCCTACTAGATTTAACCAACCTTAAATACTCCTAGCCTTTTTTCGATTGACCTTCTTACTTTTAATCTGTTTAGTACATTTTTTCCCTTTTCATTATATCTTTTCATTCTAGCATGTCTGATAACTTTAAGGTAGAAGTAAAGAAAGATTAACTTGGTTGTGAAGATTTCTATTCAGATGATTAGGTCCTTTCGTTATTGCAAGATAATACTATAGCCAAGTTGTTTATTAGTTAAATTCGATGTTTATTGAAGGTTAAAAATAAATTGAAGATAATGCTCATATGAGGGGAGAATAAGTTTATCACAAGATGGATGAGCTTCTTGTCGCATTAGATTCTGAGCTCTAGAATCCTCCAGTCTTAATGTCAGAGGTTAGTTTAGCTCTTCCAGTTGACTTTTCTTCCTCTTTCTCAACTCTCTCTTTTAATAACCCCCATCTTTCTGATCTTTCCCAACCTTAATTTTTTTCTTTTTCTTATAAATAAATAAATTGAGTTTGGAGCCTAACTTTAGCTCGTCTTTTGAGTTTAAGGAGTTTTCTACCTCTTTCTCGACTTCTTCTTCCTTTTACATTGTGGAGGTTCATAAATCCCTATTTAACCCTAAACCTTCATGTAAACCTTAAATCCCTATCTAAACCCCTAAACTTTCATGCAAACCCTATGTAGAACCTAAACCTTTATACAAACCCTAAAACCTCATACAAAACCCTTAAATCTTTTAAATTAACCCTAAACCCTAACTAAACCCCAAACTAACCTCAAATCCCAAATCAAACCTTTAAACCCCAAAATAAACCTTCAAATCCTAAACTAACCCTAAATTGTACTTAAACCCTAACCAACCCTAGGCCTTAACCAAACCCAAAACCAACCCTAAACCCTAAACTAAACCTTAAATCCTAAACCAAACCTTTAAATCCCAAAACAAACCTTCAAGCCCTAAACTAACCATAAACCGAACCAAAACCTCAAACCTTAAACCAAAACCCCAAACTCTAAACCAAAACCCCAAACCCTAAGCCAAAACTTTAAACCCTAAACTTGCATTAAACCGAATCGAACCAATCCCAAACCAAGCTGAACCAACCCTAAGCTTAAACAAAATAAAAGCCAAACCCTTAAACCTAACTTAACCCTAAACCTCAAACTTTAAACCAAGCCTTAAACCCAAAAAGTTAACCCCAAGCCCACTCATGCATTCACATTTAAGTTTTAAATGAAATTGTTGCATGCATTTGCATTTTGGCAATGTCATTACACTCATACATTGTGTTTGTCATTTACCTTTCAATTGCCATTCATATAAAATATCTTTATGTTAATGCATATCATTTACATGTTTCATAAAAAGAAGTCTTATAAGAAAATGCTTTAAAAATGATAAAGTAAGGTAATATTTCAAGTAAAAATAACCCTTGAAATATGGCCTAAATATAAAAGGATTCTCAATGGTTATCATTTACGCAAAATATTATTTTGATTTTGTGGGGCATTTTGAAAACTCCTAAAGTTAGAGACATTTTTAAAAGGCCTCATATATATAAGAAAGTGAATGAAGTGTTTCGATACTTAGGATTTTTCACTTTGATACAAAATATTTTTTTTAAATCAAAAAATAAAAAATGATTTTATTTTTCAAAAACAAAAAGTTAAAAGGACCTAATTTTTCAGAATGAATAAATAAAATTAAGGAATTAACTTGTAAATATTAAAATGAGGATAATTTTTACAAAATTTCAAAGATAACATGCAATCAATTAGTATCATTTTTAAAAGGTATTGTGGAGGTACTAATCTTTTCTCATGAATAACTGACTTCCAAACACAAATATAATTTTATAGACTAAAATATCTTTTTAAGAAACTTTAAACTTTTTTAATATTTTATTAAAAGGGTAAACTTTTTAAGAGGTCAATCACACCTTAAAAAAAATATTAGTGGTGACTCCTCAATTTTGATAAAATTTTCAAAATTGGTTTTTTTTATTTTTCCTTTTCAAGCAATCGGATTCCTAAACTCGTATGTTATGACACTTGATGGTAACAAGAGTTGTTTTATAAGGCATTAGAACCTATGTTGACTATTAGGGGGTCTTATAATTAAGAGTGTGGTGTGTTAGCTGTATAGTGTCTTATTTAATAAAAAGTTTTTGATTTAGAAAAAAAATTTAATGATGAGAATGATTAGACCAAGATATGGATAAAATCCCACACATTATATGATTTATCATTCGGAGAAACATAGCATAAGGTTAGCATTTAGTGCTAGCAAAATCTATTAAATATATCTTCAAAATGTATCTAAAATCATTAATATAGCCAAAAATAAACATCCCCAAATCACTTCGCTCAAATGCCAAAACAAAAAACCCAACATTTAAAAGATAAATCAAAACTAATTGCTTTTAAAATCAACAAAAATTGGCTAAGTTCTTCAACTTCAACTGCCACTTACTTGGTCAAGCTTCCAGTGCTTTTTTCTATTGATCCTTACAATATATCAAACATATCTAAGAACCAATCTAAAGAATAATGTATCACGTACCATAAGTAGCGTAACAATGATCTTATGATCATGCTTAAGGTATAAACTTCCTTAAGTTTCTTTTCATTCACAGTCTCGAGATATTTCTTTACAATTATTTTTGATAAAAATTAACTCACGTAATCTTTAATCAAATAAGGAATAAAATTTTAGAATAGTTTTAAAACTTATTTAAAGAGTTAAAGTGGAAACATGAAACTTAATATGATTATATCTAATGAATAAACACTAATTTATATTCAATATTAAATCACAATATTTAATGATGAAAGAATTTTAGTTATACTGAGAAACTAAGAATATATATGTTAGTCAAATCTCATTGGTTTTTTTTAATAATTGAAAAGTCATGGCTTATTGATAGATGGCAATTATAATTTATAAATATAAGATTGATTAATTGAAAAATTAATTATGAATTAACAAAAGTTTGATTCATCTAATTTGAAACCACAAAAGGATTATAATACTTATATTTATTATAACATGTTAAGGAACCTAATGGGTTACACAA